AACTTCTTCTACAAGAGGATCGTATTTGGAAGCCCTGACATTCTTTTTCAAAGGGGCTACCAGGAGTCATGATCCAAGTAGGCAGCGATGTACCCGAAGTTGAATGTCTGTTATGGCGGAGGAATCCCTCATGTGGTGTTTCATTTGTCGCCGTGCAAAGCAAAGAACCAATTGAGTGGAGCGCATCCAATAACACTTGTTTCCAGTTCTCGATCGGGAGTTTCTTGGATTTTAAGGCGAGAAAAATGGTTTTCCACACAGTCCCGTTTAGTTGTTCGACTTGATCGTTTCCCTGAGGGTTGTACGGAGTCGTTCTGCTCATGGCAACACCTTTCTCAAGGAGAAAGCGTCGTACTTCCTCTAACATGAAGGAAGTGCCTCTGTCTGAGTGTATGTAAGCAGGCATTCCGAACAAGGAGAACAATTGGCACAAACAACTGATAACAGTATGGCTGGTTAGATCCGCACAGGCAAACGCAAAAGGGAACATCGAGTATTCGTCAATAACCTTAAAGAGGTACTGATTCCGGGTGAAACAGGACAATGGACTCTTGAAATCGATTGAGAGTCTTTCGAACGGCTGTGTAGCTTCAATTACATGACCTCCGAAGGTGCGCTGGAACCGAGGTTTTAGCTCGGAACAGATCCCGCAATTGGTTGTTACATTGCGTACCCCCTCGATCGAGAATGGCATATTGCGAGCTCTTACGAAATGCATCATACAAGAGATCCCTGGGTGGCACAAGAATCATGAAGTTCTCCGAGGTTTGATCCGGCGAGGAGAACTCCACAGCAAGATAGACTAAGTGCGTCGGCGACCGTACTTTGCTTTCCAGGTATATATATTTACCACCGGCTTGAAAACAAGCATGGTGCCAACGCAACAACAATGACAGTGAAGGGGATAGGTGGATTAGGATACAGAACATGGTGAAAAGTGGGTGAGACAGTTAAACATGGAAAATACAAGATAACAATTTTTTTTTGNGATAACAGTGCGGGTGGTTAGACCCGCACAGGCAAACGGAAAAGGAAACCTCGAGCATTCGTCAATAACCGTTAAGAGGTACTGATTCCGAGTGGACCAGGGCAATGGACCCTCGAAATCCATTGTGTCTTTCGAACGGTTGTGTAGCTTTATATTACATGACCTCCGAAGGTGCGCTGGAACCGAGGTTTTAGCTCGGAACAGATCCCGCAATTGGCTGTTACACTGCGGACCTCCTCGATCGAGAAGGGCATATTGCGAGCTCTTACGAAATGCATCATACGAGAGACCCCTGGATGGCACAAGGAACCATGCAGTTCTCTGAGGTTCGGTCAGTCGAGGAGAGCTTCACAGCAAGATCGACTAAGTGCGTCGTCGGCCATAAACAACATCGAAGCTGAAGGGGGAAGTTCTAATTTCCACCGCAGGGTTTTATCATTGTTGACTCTCCCACGGTGCTGGTTCCCGAAAATGAAGGAGATAGAACGCTGATCGGTGAAGAGTTTGAAATGATTGTCGAGTAGCATATGGCTCCATTTCCGGACGGCTTCGACTACGGCGTACGCTTCTTTCTCAACTGCTGAATGATGTCTCTCCCGTTGAGTTAAAGTCCTGGAAAAGAACGTGACAGGGCGTCTCCCCTGATTCAACGTAACGGCGATTGCTACTTCCGAGGCATCAGTTTCGATGACAAACGGGATATTGAAGCGAATGGTCACCAGGCTTGCTGTTGCTAGTTGCTAGTTGAGACTTTCAAGGCTTTGTTTTACATGCGCAGTTATCGGAAAGGTTTGGTTATGTGCCAGTGAATGGATTTTGTCGGAGAAGTTCAAAATCCATAGGGAATAGTAAGAGAAGAAACTCACAATCCTTTGTTGTGATTTCAAATTCGTGGGTGCGTGCATTTCTTGCAACGAATTCAACCGATCAGGATCCGGTGTGATGTTGCCTTTCGTTATTTGAAAACCAAGCAGCTTGATTTCCCTCACGCCTATGATGCTTTTACCGTCGTTAAAAGTCAAACCATATTTTTTGGCAGCGTTCAATAAATCCCTGAGGTTGCGGTCATGTTCAACTGCGTTTCTCCCACTAACAGTAATGTTATCCACGTAGACAAACGTGTCTCAGATTTTCAAGAGATTATATCATAGATAGCCTTCTGGAAATATGAAACGCCGTTGGTGACACCAGGGAATACGGCGGGATTGATACAAACGTCCACATGCCTCAAAAGTAGTAAACATTTTCTTCTTCCTAAATAGAGATTTGATAGTATGTATTTTTGAGGTCTAGAGTGCTGAAAATGTTCTCCATCATATCGTCGATTCTGGGTAGTGGATATGCGTCCTGGCTGGTGAACTTGTTGATTGTTTCGCTATAGTCTACCACCATTCTCCGTTTGTGGTTCTCATTACTGACAACCAGCACCTGAGCGCGCCATGGCGAGTTGGAAGCTTCAATGATGCCATCAGACAGGAGTCGACTTATTTATGAATATCTGATCTTCCCCGCTGCCGCGTCGGGATTTTGTGGCGACAGGCTTACGATGTATGGACAGATTCTAAAAAAGTGGCCAGGACACTATGGAAGCAGACCTGAGTGACCATACCGTAAACGGAATCTTCTCTCCGCCAAATGATATATGAACGCTCTTGTGAAGGCTAAGGAAGTCATGTCCGAGGAGAACATCCGAACATAGATCACGCAGTATAGATAGTTTGAAACGTTCGTAAACACAGTTTTTGTATTTGATGGAGATAGAGCAGTGCCCTTTTGTGCTGCTTGATAGGGAACTTGAGGCCACTGTGATAGTTTCTCTGGATGAGAGTACTTTCCACTTATTAGTGAGTATTAGGCTCTCTGAAACATAGCTTGCTGAGCTCCCGGTGTCGATCAGAGCACGACAAAGGACTCCATTGACCTCGAGATCCACGACAGATTTTGAGAGACATGTAGGAGTATTAGCCGCGATAATCGCCGATATAGATGAGCAAGCGGTAGGTGAAGCGTGACTTTGTTGGCTTTTTGAGAGATAAACTCTTTGAAAGTGACCCTTTTTACCACAACCTTTACAAAGACCATCGTTTGCGGGGCACTTGGAGCGAGGGTGCTTGTCGAGGTCACAAAAGAAAGACTAAGGGTGGACTACGGTGGCGATAC